TGCAGATCTGAAGGAATCCCAGCTGTTGCGCAGAAAACAACAGTTGCCCCAATTAGCAGCTTCTGCCATGTCTGGAATGCTGTATAAGCTTGCTTACATGAGGAACATTTGAGGGTGTGCTGCTCAAATCTGTCTAACATCTGCAAAACAAAGTTAAAATAAAAACTACGTCAAATAGCAGCTTCAGATAGAATTTGTTTAGTTTGCTTTTCAAGAAAGGAAAGAACTGCTTATCACCTGACGTTTTGATAAGACCATTGATGGCAAAGGTTGTTGGTCACTGCTGCCAAACCACTCAGGTTGGCTGTTGCCATGCCGCCTCAGCCAATTCCGAAATGCCAAGACGAAGCGATCTGCTTGTGTGGGAGTGAATGTGATTTTTGTGTACTGCTTATTAACATCACCAGATTCCTCCTTGGACATGGAGAGAAAGACCTTCTCTTGACCCTGAAGGACAATCATGTCTCCATCATATACCTTATTTGAAGTCCAATGCTCTTGCCATCTAGGAACCACCTGAAATAAGGAAAATCCAAGATTATAAGGATATTAAAAAAAATGAACTTGAAGCCTACTATGAGCGTAACATTCAGATTGGTTTACTGCTAAATTGTTTGACAAAATCCTAACTTGACTTGGGAATAAGAAATCAGCAGGAGAAAGGACTGACAGCAAGTAAGATCAATATATTTCACACACAAATCAAAGTAAGAACTTTTGGAAGCTCATTGAAAAGTGATTGCTTCTCAGCTCATATGGCATTCTATGCTCATAATTTGGACTGGTGACTAATCCCTTCTTCTATAGTTTAATAACTAATCACATACAACTTATCTCAGTGTCAACCAGAAAAGCTAAACATCAAGTGTCGTATGGAGAAAATCGGGAATTCACATATCCTCTCATCAAGTTATATTAAGTTATAATGAGTAAAAGTAATTTATTTCTACACAAGAGACTATAATAGTCTCCACCATCAGGATCCTGCCGGACAACATGTGCTGGTTCACCAAATTGTTGTTATGAAGTACAAACTACGACATAAGATAACACAAAGTTCATACCTGCCACCAAGCAGGCCCTGGCATGCTGAACTGAAAGAAGTTTCGAGCACTACAAACAATAGAACGAGTCTTCCCTGGTGCCATTGGAACGTTGAAGGAACAAATCCATATAATCCATTTTTGATCACCAACTAGTGGAAGCTTTGTGTCAATCTCTATCCTGGATAAAACATGATTTAGTTTTAGAAGGATAACATCCAAGTCCTACACATAACTCATATAATCTTTTACTGCTTATATGAGGGTGATGAACTTACTTGTTCAAATAATAACAAGGAGCTATAAACTCAGCAGTAATCCGTGGGTTGCCTTCATTTGCTCCAGCAAATCCCCATTGGCCGCTGGCCTCCACTTTAAATGGCAAAGGCTTGGCTCTATCTCTCCTTCCTGTAACCTGTTTGAGTGATTTCACAAATAAGTAAAATGGAAACTTTATCTATCATGAAATGAACTTCAATTGCCAAATATTAACGTTCCCTATTCTACATTGCCCATTTCCTAACACATCCCGATTAGCAGAGCTTGGATCTTAGAATTCACATGCCAAGTACCACAGAGCAGAAAAAAAAAAATTGGTCAAGTTCCAAAGACCAACACATGCAAAATACATGTAGCAAAAGTACACAACATTAGATTGGAACAGACACAAATGTGTATGATAATACTTTCGTAGATTTATCAACCCACAATACGCCAACTGCTCAATTTACTAGCATTCAGTATTACCACTCTAACTGCACGACTTTATCTGGTTAAAGAGAGGACCAACCAACTAAAAAATTTGCTTGAATAACGAAAAAGAAAGAAAAGCCCAGATATTAGATCGAACCATATACCTTGTGATGAGCGAAGTCAATGTGGGAAGGATCAGAGACATTTTCCATGAGGGTATCATATCCATAGAACAGATCACGCTGGATTGTCACTGATGAAAACTCAGGTTTACCAAATTCCTCAGGCAGCCTAAACATTGAATAAGTACATCACATCAAAAGGGCATTAAAATATTCAGTAATCAAAGTATAACAATTAACAACTAACTATATTAAACAATTAAAAAACAATTCGAGCACAGTAATCAACAATCCTAATCACTATATTCACAAATTAAAAATTCACAAGAGAGACATAAAATGAATCAATTACATGGGAGGCTTAGTGGCATTAGCTCTTTCCCATCCATTCTCATCTGGCCAAACAAAGAGTAGTCCTTGAGACACCAGTGTAGGAAACCTTGTAGCACATGCTCTTGGAGACCGAAGGGCACGAGCCTCAGGACCTTCAGATGAAGCCTGCGGAATCTTAACACATGATCCACATCCGTCAAATGACCATCCATGGTATGAACACTGCAAGTTTCCCCCTTCATCAATCCGTCCTTCCTGCAAAACCAAATAACCCCACCCATGACCCAGTTTCTCATTTAATTATCTGAACATTTTAAACCAGAAATTGATGTTACGCTTACATTACAGTTACATGGAAGTCATCAAATTTTATATGATTAGTGAGGACCAACTGTACAAAAAGAAAGCAACCTAACGTATTCAAAAAGACCAACTTGGGGAATTTTATTGTCTTATTGTTCTTTCTTTTCCTCCAAATTCTCGGCAACCAAACAGAGCATAACATTAATCTGACAAAAATGATCAAGTAAGAGTGAACCCAGAAAAGCTTACAGATAAGGGCGCGAGGCGGTGAGGGCATTTGTCATCAAAAGCAACCCATTCACCAGAAGACTTATCATACCAGAGAACAAGGTCACGACCCAGAAGCTGAAATGGGGTAGGCAAGCGAGGGTCCAAATCTTCAATCAAAGAAACTGGGTACCAATGATCCCTCCAATTGAACTTTGTTGTCGGGTTCTCATCGTCAACCTCATCCTCAACTCTGTAATCTTCACCATCTTGTTCTGTCTGTATGGGTGGTGCCTCTGGGTCTGTGGTTTGTGGTTGGGTTGTAGGCACAGCTACTCTCAAAGGAGATAGACTTTTTGCCCTACCTGGTAATTTACGATTTGGGTTATTGCTGGAGATCAAGAAAGGAAGTGTCTTGGGAGGTTTGGGGGTTGGTGATGATGATGATAGAGTGAAAATTGTAGAAGAAGCAGAGGAAGAGAGTAAAACTGCCATTATGGGTTTGTTTCTGATACTTCAATTCTGTGATTTTCTGCTGAAGAAATTGGTCAAGGTAGGCTCTAAAAACGAAAATGGAGGACTTTGCGTGCAAGTTTGAAATGGGGCCCTTTGTCCTTGCCTGAGCTAGAGAATTCCAGTTTAAGCACTGAGGAGATTAACGGTAATTTCGGGAGGGAAAATTGTGCACAAAATATTGTCATTTGTGTCGTGGCGAGAGGTCATTGGTTAGGTTTTGTTTGGTGTTGACGGTGCCGGCCCTTAGTGAGTGAGCTACGGTTGAAATCACGTCCACAACTTTGGAAGACAGTAAAACTTGCTGATTCAGAGTTCAGACGTGAGACAAGGACACGAGTACAGAAAAATCCAGAACTGAATTATGGACTAAGTGGAAATTTCTTTGGACTATTTTCTTAAGGTGTTTGTTTTTGGACCAAGTGGCAATAGGGTTCATAACATGGACCCTATAAGATCCTTATGGCCCAATAAACTCTTACTTAAAAGGGGGTGAGGGTTGCGGCTGGCTGGGTGTTGGTGGGAGCGGCACGGGGTGGGTAGATCTGGGTTGTAAATTTTTTTTTTTCATTTTCCAAATATTTTTTTATTATTATTTTTAAAACTCAAACAGTAAACATTTGACAATTTCACGGAAAATTAGATGGAGTTCGAAAAATTTGACGGTAAGGGCTAATTGGATATTTATAATCATTTTAAGGATTAAATTGGCTGAAAAATTAATTCGGGGGTTAAGTTCGATTAGGGTGATAGTTCAAGGGGTAAGACAACTAAAAATCCAAGGGAAAAAGTCACATTGGTCATTGTAGTTTGCCGGTTTTTCCAATTTAGTCATGTAGTTTTAATTTTGTCAATTTAACACATGTAGTTTGATTCTATCACAATTCAATGACACATCCAAATTTTTATCTAATTCCATCCAAAATTCCATCCAAAATACCCCTCCACATAAGAGACACGTGTTCATTCCTTCAAGAAATTGAATGGAAATTTGAACGAGTCCTCAAATTGCAATAAAATCACATTACATGGGTCAAATTGCAAGAATTGAAACCACAGGGACGAAAGTGAGAATTTCATTAAACTACAGGGACGAAAAATGACTTTTTACCTACTTAAATCGAGCATACATGTTTGAGTGCCAATTTATGCTTCGAATTAAGTTTTTACTTTAAACAAGTTTTTACTTTAGTAGGGTTAGGGTTTATTGTTTACAATTTAGAGGCATGCGAATAAGAAAGTAAAAATAACTAGGGTTTAGGGTTTAGATGTATCTCTCTTAAACTCTGGTTATATTGTTCCTTCTTCTCTTTTCAATTAATCAACAATGTTTTAGTAAACATAGAGAGGTACACTCTCAATTAGCCAAATCCGTTACTACGTTGCATTTTATATAACATAGAAGTATAATCAGAATCGAACGCGTGATACATAAAGAATTTTACATCCCGCTAACGAATGCGCTTCTCTTATTTTCTTAACTTGAATTTGATTTTCCTTCAGGAATCAGAAACTAGAGTATGATCCTTCTATTGAAACATACATTAGAAAAAACATAATAATACTAGTTTAGAATCAATTAAAACAATTCACATCCATCTCTCTCTCTGTCTAACTTAAACTCTTGCATCTTTATTCTTTACACAAACGAGTTCTAGTACTACTAGTAGCATTAAACATCTCGCTACCACTCAGTTTAATACATTCAAAAGTGAACATGAGAAGAATTTTGAACTCTCGCTCTGTGGTACTCAAGACATTCCTGGTCCCCAATCCAGACAAGTACGTTCATCCGGAGCAGCAAACTCAAATTGAGTTAATTTATTAGGGTTTACTTCCTGAGAGCAGATATCATGCCAAAATACTCACTTCTTTGGGTAGGTCTGATGGTCAGGGCCAACGTCACGGGAACCAGTGTTTATATAAGGCCCTCGAAATGTTGCTTGGGGTGACAGTGGCTTTGAAGGGTCAATGACAGGCTTTGGGGATGACCTGGAAAACAAAAAACCACATTATGCTAACTTTTTTTTTCCCCTCATGAATTAACATAACGCTATAGTGTGTATTCATCATCATTGAAATGGCAATCTACTTACGCCATGTAAAAGGGAAATGCCAAGCCCGCAGCTGCAAAAGCCACCAAGCCAGTAGCAACAATGGCATTCCGTGCTCGGGCCATTGAGAGTACCAAAGCAAACTAAACATGAAGTAAACAAGAAACATAACTTGTATATTCAGATAGATTCTTCCATGATACTACTTCAAATTAGGTGAATATGAAACTAAGTATTTTGGTATGCTTCCAACCGAACAATTTCATGGCTATTGCCTCGAAAATTATAGCCAGTATATTACAAAAAGAGCAAACTTCTATTTCATTTCCATAACCAATGCACACGCCAAGTTCAGTCAAAGAAAATGTTCAGCCGACTGTAAAACTAGGCAAGGAAATGCTCAATCCATAAATTAGATAGACATTATCTCTTGCTATCTAACCTCCAAGCTGTAAAAAGAAGGCTATACAGATTCTAACTTCAATTCAAACAGTAAATCTTAGGTTCAAATCAAATCTCACTAAAGAAAAGAAAGACAAAGATACATTTAACTCCTGGTAGTTCCAACTAAAGTTCTCCACAACAAGTATGCTTCAAATATTCACATTCATGAATCTTGATTAAACACTCCAATTTACATCACGAAATTGAAAAGCTATCACTCTGTTTCTCATCTCATGGATTTAATTTTCAGCATATTTTGATCCAAACGGATAATTAGGCATTCGCACACAGAAAGATCAACCCTTTTTCAATGAGTAATGAGTGAGAGAAAAAAAAAGTTAATCCAATCATATTTCAAAAATCGAAGAAAACCCTAATTTTGAAACCGAATTATGAATAATGAATTGGCCAAAACAGAAATGGAAGTTCGAAATCGCAATTAAGAAACTTGAAAGTGAACGATTGAATCACCTGAGTCACTTCCAATTGCTGCCCAGAAAGAAATAATAGCTGCCCCAATACTCACCGACTCGGGATTCGGGTTAAGACTCGGGGACTGAAAGTGTTTACCGTTTTTTTCGGTGAACTGCTCTTTCATTTAGGAAGAAACGGGGCAAAGCATAACAAATGAGGTTCAGGTAAGTTATGACCCAAAACATTTATTGGGTCAGAAGACAGATAATTCTATCGGCACCTTAAAATTAAATTATCACACCCATAAAACATAATGTGATTTTTACGGTTTTAGTTTTTTCTTTCTTGAATAAAGGCGATAATCTAAACTAAAAGGAGAGGGGGTTTCTCACACACACTATGAGTTCGAACTTGACACCATTGATTTGCAAATAAAATCCATTTTCCACTCAGTTAGCCCCATTGGCTTATGGTTTTAATTTAATTTAGTGTGATTATAATGGTTACCCGGTGTCTAGAAAACGTTTCATCATTTTCTAGCTTTTATGTTTAAAATGACTCGGGGTGGCAATCTTAGGTCTGGAATTTCAATTGTGACAGTGTGATCTATTGGGCATACTTGTCTTGCAAACCCATTTTGTAAAATATGTATCTCCTTTGTTTCTTAGACTTGTGGCCAAAGAAATTGAGACTAGGATAATCCCACATCCATGACCAGGTTAAAGATGCAGCTGTTAGATGCGTAGTGAGTTGGTTACTGGGAAATTACAATGTACATCAACTGATGACCCATTCAAAAGTTCGACATTTCCCACGCAAAATGAAGACCTACAGGAGATAAAAACTGACATGAACACAAAGCCAGCAATCCCAAATATCTTTGCACATAATTAATTTACTTTCCAATCATTCTGACAAAAATGGAGAATCAGCTTTGCTTCTCAACAATCACAAAACTATTCAGCATTCATGACTACTTCCAATCAATTGGGAAAGCATAATATTTAGCAGAATCACCGCTGCATCCATCCATTATTCTAATTATGAGATCTCACTTGTTCTAAATCAGAGAAAGCAGAGCCGCAAGAAGCTTAAAAACCCACAATCAGAACATTATCATTCAAGCTCACCACTTGTTCTAAATCCACACAAGCAAAGCAGTAAACCAGAGGTAAACAAACAACCATGTACGTTATAAAAGTCATCAACAATACCACAGATTACATTAATAATAATCACTACGCCTCAATTCTCCAAATGAGAGAATTACCCTACTGTGCCAAGACCCAAACATCCATATTACTTTTGAACAAACCATAAACCTGTTTATCTAACATTTCAGTTCTAGAGATTACAAGGTGAAATTGAACACAACAATCACTTTGCAAGCACCTGCTGGGCTTGGTTCTCCTGCTGTTGCTGATAGTTCAGTGGCCTCCTGAAGAGCATGATGTGGGGCTCCGGGCGATGAATTGCATAGTGAACCCAGCCACGGCTCTGCTGAACTCCAATGGCACGCCATTCATTCTGAAATCAAAATGCAAAGGGAAAACAAAAGGGGTTACTTAATTTCAGATACCAAGGGTTTTCATGTTCACAGAGATCAACGCTTCTGATTTTACAACTTAGCAAAACCATATATTTCAAAAATCTCAATCCTCTTTTTTCCCTTTCCTTCAGGTTCTCAAAAACCAAATAGCACAATGATTTTTTACATAGACATCAGAACCCAAAAACAAAAACGCTCGTTACAAAACCTCTACATATCACCGAGAAACAAAAATTAGGAATTCAATGCCTTTTCAAATTAAATTAAATTAAAAGATCCTAATAATTTGGGATTCCATGAACTAAAAAGCAATAATCCACTACATTGAAGAACCATATAAACCAGTATAATAAATTGCATAATAATTTGGGTTCCATGATTGAAACATTAACCCAATTACACCAAACAACGAAAAAATCCTAACTAGATTCTAGGTTTTCACACATTTGCATAACTGAGATTCAGAGTTTGAATTCCAATTCTTTAATTTCTTCGGCAATCAAACAGAACTATGGCTCCAAATAACAAAACAAAGAGAAACCAATGAATCTTAGGAACAAAAATGAAAAAAAAAAAAAAAAAAAAAAAACCTAAGCACTTACTTCAGAGAGAAGCCGATTTTTTGGGAGCAGTTTAGCCACTTCCTGAGGAAGAACCACATGCCTATACAGACGGTCAGAAAAAACACATTCACTCAAGAAAAACAAAGCAGCAAACAAAAGAAAGCAAAGCGAAAATGAAGGTACCTGTACTCGTAAATATCATCGAAATACTTCTCGGAGTATTGGATCTGACCCATATTCAGGGATCGCTCTTTCAACCCAAAATCTCAAACAGGGTTTGTAAAATTTCGAAGTTTAATCTGCGAAAATCGAACGAATTTTCAAGAAATCAAATGAAGTCGAAATTCTAGAGAGAGAAAAGAAAAAAGAACTAAAGCAGAGCAACAGGAGAAAGGGCATACCTCAGAGAGAGTGAGGGACGAGATTAAATAAAAGAGAGCGTGAGATTATAATGAAAAGGGGTGAGGGGGATGGGATGGGAGTGACGGTGGAATAAAAGGGAACTTCAAGAAGGGGTATTGTGTAAATTTGCTTTCCTAAAATGTGCTCTTGATCATTTTGTTAATAATTTTGTATTTGAAAGAAAAAGAACGCCCCGTTATATGGGTTTGAATTTCAAAATTTTGAATTTTTCCCGCTTTTGATTTTTTTTATGATTTCTTTTTCTCACGTAATTTGTTTCACAACGGCAGGATTATTTGAAATTATCATGAAATATTTAAAACCAAGTCATTTGCAATGATGAACATTGAAAAAACAGAAGGGTGAAATGTGCATGTCACACTGCACCAACACTAGAAATCATGCAAATCACACACGGGCACCAGGTTGCAAATCAATGCTCTTTTCCATTGGGTTAAACCCCATAAACCAAATATCATGCAAATTGATTCCCGCTTTTGATTTTTTTTATGATTTCTTTTTCTCACGTAATTTGTTTCACAACGGCAGGATTATTTGAAATTATCATGAAATATTTAAAACCAAGTCATTTGCAATGATGAACATTGAAAAAACAGAAGGGTGAAATGTGCATGTCACATTGCACCAACACTAGAAATCATGCAAATCACACACGGGCACCAGGTTGCAAATCAATGCTCTTTTCCATTGAATTAAACCCCATAAACCAAATATCATGCAAATTGAGATTATGGAAATTATAGTTGGAAAAGAAAAAAATGATGCTGAGAGTGAGAAAATGGGTTGTATCTAACAATCAATAACGCTCAAGGCTAACTAGTTAATAAGTTAATACGACGCTAAACACTTGTTTAAACCTACTTTGCAAGATAATCTTATGATCCGAACCAGTCTTTTCTTAAATACAACATGGAGTGAATCTCACATCTTTTATTGCGTAATAGAGCATTTTCAAGGAATAAGACAAATGGGAATGACAACAGAAATTGGCTTTTCCCACAAAAATTTCAAGGAAAATCATGATAAACAAAACTACTCAACACTTGAATCTCATCGGACCTTCTTTACAAGTTTAGAGCCAAGGAGCTCAATTCAAGTTTGGAACTACAAAGAAAATCACAATGGAACTGGGCGAAAGGCATAAGCTACAAAAATGGAATCCCATGGCCAGAAGTAGAAATAAGAGTGTCATAAAAGGCACAGTTCCAGAAGACAGGAGTTACCAAAATTTCTGTAAGTCTCTTCATTAACCTACTCTTTCATTAACCTACTCTCACTTTTCTGTTGCCCAACTGAAATCTCTCAGTTTCTATACGCTACCAAAAAAACAAAAACTGCCTGTAGGGTTGGTTGTTGTATATTTTCTGCTTTTCTGTACACCAAGAGCCAAGGGGAGTCATGTACATTTTGAAGGAAAATGATCCACAAATTAGTTGGCTTCTCTCCATTCCAAAATAGAAGACTTCGATGATCCAACACTCAATTACTCTCTTTTCAAGCAAGAATTCTGCACTTAGGGACGGGCTTCCGCAGCATGGATGTCCCATGGAAGATCATCATTTGGTAACTTCTCCTGTAATTGCTTATCTGAAAGGGAAAATATGTAAATAAATAAACTTGAATTAATTAAGCATTTAAAGAAAGTAAATCTCTTTCTCCAAAAGTTCACGTACCTCATTTTGGGTCAACTTCTCCAAACCAAATCTCTTTTTCCATATTGATTCTGCCTCATCAGCAGCTGGCACAACAAGACTTTTCACATTTAAGAACGCAAGAAACCTCTCAATACATGAAAATAAAGTCTGGAAGTAACCCTACAAAAAACAATAGTGAATTCAAGTCAGGAAAAAAAAAATTCATATAAACTTCATTGATTCCAAGAGAAAAAAGGTGGCAATGCGACCACACAGCGGTGTAAAAATAACCTGTCCTTGGTAATCAGCACTTGTTGCCACTAAAGGAAGCTCTGCCACTTCTGCTCCATAGATACGAAACATTCCGGCTGACACAACCAATTGGCTGCATAATAAGCAATATATGTCAACACAGACAATTTTATCTATACTAACACTATATGACTGCATTTTGATATGATGCTCACTTTACTGTAATTATTGCACAGTACATCCCACCAAATTCTTGGGTCTGGATGGTCCCCCTGCAAATTCAGTTGATATAATCAGTCAAAAGTGAATTCAACTGGGTACTACATTATGTGATAATTTACACAATCAGAGCAACCAAAAGAATAGAGGCTGAGTATGACTACTGAAAAATAGAATATCGTGGCTCACCCATAAAGCATTTCTTTGATGAAGTCAAGGCGTGAAGTAGGATCAACTATTGGGGCAAAACGATCCTATAGCACAGAAATGAAATTGACAAATAAGTACGCATAAAATTTAACCCCTGAAACAATGGCAGAAAGTCATCTAGTAACATCAGACACAGATGCCCAATTATGCACCATATAGACAAAAGCCTGGAAGCATGGGACATCAAGGCATGTCAAATCACCCATTAACATCACCAAATACAACACAACATTCTCCCCAATATAGGAAAATAAATTAAAATTTGATTTACTACAGCTAGGTTGGCTACTATAATTAAAATAACAGATATTCTTAACAGGGAAACAAATAACAAGTTTACTCACATGGAATATCGCAAGAGCCTTTGAAAGCAACTGTAAACTTTCATCATCAGTGGACGTTTTCCCATTAAGCACCCTCCATTTTATATCAAGATTAGCCCCAAACTCTGTACCTTTCTCATTGTGCTTCTTCCTTACAACATTCAGTAAGGAGTCCGGAAGCTTCTGTCCCCCATGAACTACCAACTTCTGCAAAGCTGAATGAACCCTGTGGCAATCAGGGCAACAGAACCACTTTCCTTTCGGTATTTCCTGGAGACCAAAATGTTTTCAAACGAAGTATGATTAAGATAGCAGCAAAAATACAGCGCACAACCAAAACAAGAAGGGGAAAAAAAACATATTAATTACTGTTCACAATAAAAAAAACAAAGGAAGACTGAGGCACCTTCAAATCTTCAATCCCGTTATCCTTCAAACAGCCTACATGAAACTCCTTTTCACACTGGAGAGTGAGGAAAAGAATAAGCACATCAATTAGAACATAAGGGTTAATCATAAATAAAGTGGAAATGTAAAGCACTTCAAAGCCAAGACTTAATAAGTTAAGAAAATAAGTTAGCAATCAAAGTACCTGATCACACAAAATAACTGTGCCAGGACCAAAATCAGAGTCGCTGAATTCATGTCCTCTGCAGACATCAAAATCAAGAATATTCATATTTTCTAATGGAAAATCTGAAAATCATGATAAGAAGTAAGGTAATGCACCAAACATATGGAAAGCAGTAATTTCTCAGTGGCAATTGTGTAATATAGGGAGACTAGACACACAAATAAAATCACCAAAGGGTTTTGCCAAAATTTAGTGTTCTACGATAGCTGCAAATATTTTTCTGGTTCACTATAAACTAATATGAGAAATAACCTGCACAGTGCGCAACCACCAAATTTCTCTTCGAAAGTTGTGACAATACGAATGCATCGGTTGGTTATTTGTTCTATAGGATCAACTCCTGCAACTCTTCCAGCTGCAACAGCATTGGCATTATGCTCCACAAATTTCTCTCTCTCAAACATAGACTGGCACTGTTTACAGTACCAAGTACCTTCAGGGACACTTGGTAGAGAAAGGCACTCTGCAATTGGCAACAAAGTAAATAAAACATGTAACTCATGCACAATACATTACAAGCATACTATACCCTTCTCTGTTTTTTTATTTATCTTTTTCCCTTACATGTGTTGTAATTATCAAGCTACTATCTTAACTAGTTACGAAAAAGGATCCAACAAATAAGCCAAATGAAAAACCCGATTTAAATGACTGCATATGCATTTGAAAACACAATATGCATGTAGTAACAATATCAATAGCTTAAAGATTCAAGTAAAAAAAGAGATAATAATTAGCAACCCCATTCATGAATCCTACCATTCAAAGAATAAAGTGAAATGGCTAACTGCACAAGTTCTATTTGCAACTATTTTAAACAAACTGTATAATGATATGGGAGTAATTAAAAAAACAAGAAGAATAACGACATCAAAATGTAAGGGACAATTGGAGATAAATCCTAACAATTAATTCTATGGAGCGAAATCACTCTTAACCCTCCATGTGGAGGCAGCTAAGGCATTGGATTGTGCATCCACGCATGCTTGCCTTCCTGGCATACAAAATAGAATTGAGGGTCTAACGTATCACGTTGCAATTTTATCTGTGTTATTTTCGTCCAGCCACTAGCTTTTGTATCTGTTGAGCTCATCTCCCCTACCCCCCAGAAAGGAAAAAAACCAACAACAAAAAAAACCCCATTTTCATGTTTTTATTTTCGACAAAGATATTCAAGGTTAAATCTATTTGCACTTTCTTCTGATCACCACACCAATCATAATACTCTTTTCCCTTAAAAAAAATAATAAGAAACAGGCTTTTTTATTTAAAAAAAGAAACAGTTCAAAAATAGTGAGCAAGGAATCCACTTCTGGAAAAATAACTAAAAATCAAACCTGCAGCAGCAACTCTATCCTAAGAAAAATAAAACACAAAACCAGAATTTGCCCAAAAAAACTATACATTAGTTACTTTCCAATCTCATAAAATAACAAGGAAAGATAGCTCATAAAATAACAAAGGCTACGCAGAAATAGCCCAAAAGTGAACCCTAATCCAAAAAACAATTGACCTCCTCACCGCCGCACACATTCCCAAAGACCCTCCTATTCCTTTCAAGCCAGAACATTGTCATCATAGCACATCTCCCCAGAACTGTACACCTTATTAATCCAATTTTTAAAAATTAAAAAGGAAAAGAATTTATTTTCTTCTTTTCCTTCTCCTTTCTCCTACCCCCTCCCAACCCTAACCCTAACTTTTTATCTTTGCAGGTCATGGCACTACTGGTGTGTGTGTTACCTCAGTCAAATTACTTTTACTTTTAATTTTTATCCATTTAAGTAACAGATTAAAGATTTTTAAAAGGTCAGGATGAAATGAGAAAGTTATGAAAGTTTTACAGAGGGGGCATAATGGGACAAACGATGTGCAAACAGAAGCAATCCACTACTAAAACATACCCATCTCTGTCCTTCTTTACCTATTGAAAGAAATATATATTGAAAATAACTTTTATAAAAGTAAAAATAAAAAGAATTGCCCTCGCTTCTCGATCCCCTTTCACCGCTTCCATGTCCAGCCCTTTTTCAACTGAGGAGGCTCAACAGTTTTAAGGATGCAAATAGAAGCTCCTTCAATATATTACCTAACATATATACTAATGAAAAGTTCCACCAGGTATTTGAGAATATGCGTTGATGCAACAAAAACAACTGTGAAAATCACCTTTGTGAAAAGCCCTTGGACAATTATCACAGCACAAGAGATCTCCTCCATCTCGACACATGGAGCATAGGTCATCATTCTTCTTTGCAGATGACTTCCTATTTCTTGACAGAGATAATGCCAATTCATGGAGAGATACCCCATTAGATGTGTAAATGAATAGGTAACTGCCAAATAAAGCAAATCAAAGTCAAACGATAATTTTTTTATAAATAAATAAATAAAAGAACACATTAACGAAAACTGCCCACAATCTTTCCACCCAAAAATCAGGCAGACAGGCCCATGGAGAACTTGCATTCAATCATGATTCATGTCATGTGACAGAGCTAGAACAAGACCAGGACCAATACACACTGCAAAAGTCCAGGACCAATACACACAAGACCACAAACTTAGACCCAACAACCCAAAGAATATAACCAAGGACTCACGGCTTGCGACGTGATGCAAAACCAGCATGAGCTTCAAACTGCGATGCACTGACCTGCCAATTAAACGTAAGAGAATCATATACCTGTCACTAACACCATAAGTGATAACAATTCAGTAGAAAGTCAACATACCACATCATTGCAGCAGCTACAACTAATGCCAGGCCCCTTTTTATAACCGACCAACATTTTCTGCCAACAAAAAATCACTACTGAGAAAATAAAATTCCACTTCAATTAGGCAAAACTGCTGTAGATATTTAATTGCAACCTCCCCATGAGAATAATAGGCTACTTCTGTTCCATCTGGCAAAACATCTTCCTCAAAAACCAACTTGTGCAACCGAAGATCCCTTTCAAAAAAATGTTAGACAACAAGCAAATTAAGTGCACAGATTAAGATAAGAAAGAAGCAGCAAATATTAGAGCTCCCATCAAGGGAAAAAATAAACATGAGACAGATAGAAAACACAAAAGAGAGAGAGAGGTTAAATACTTTCTTGTTACTCGTCCCTGACTCTTACTTTCTGAGGAGCTACACTTCAATGTGGTATCAGGACGCTTTGGTACTGTAACCGGCTTTGGTGAGCTATACTTTGACACAGTATCAGGAAACTTTGGAGCTGGAACCGGCTTCAGTGAGCTACAATTTGACATGGTATCAGGCCCCTTTGGAACCGTAACCGGCTTTGGTGATCTACAAGCACACCCTCAATTAGAAATCATAGCATATGAATTAAAATACTATTTATGATATTCTTTTGGACTTATATTTGACAGAAGAATAAAACCCCTGAATTACAGATCACACATAAAAGCATATAATTATGTACATATCACACATAAAAGTATATAATATGTACATATCACACATAAAAGTATATAATATGTACATATCACTATATACAAAAGCCTAGATAGCAAAATCTTTTAAAATACTTAAACCTCCCTTATAAAAAAAAATGTAACTTTCTCTCTGTCAATGTTACATTAAACACATCGGTCATCTTGTAAACATTTAGCATCAACCCATCAGAGGCAGAAAGACTTGTTAGAAAGACAGATAACATATTACCAAAAGAGCGGGGAAAAGAAAGCTTACTCATCACTATGGTTAGCACCTACAGCAGGCGTAGCTTCACCAGACTTTTTTAACTCCATGCATGAACTACAAAGTAGCACTGCTGACCTAGTACCCTCTTCGTGAATAGATTCTACATTTCATCATATGACAAAAGTGTTATGTATATGCAAAATACTCATCAAGAGGAGTTGTAATTATTTATATGGACGTAAAAGCAACCTTTGCAATTGAGACAGATGGTACATTTGTTCATCGATGAGCAACCAACAGCAAGTCTAACAGCTTCTTCCAAAATTCCCAATGGAGAATTTTGGCATACGGTCATGACATCCCGAAGGGTATTGCCATTTTCAAGATATATATAGTCCGGAGGACGTTTATTTGAACTACCCGCATGCAGCTCAAACACCGCAGGTGTAACAACCTATAAATTCGATAAATTGATCTATCAACTCTTCACAGCAACACTGTAAGATTTATGAACTACAAAATAAAATATCGTTAAACAATACTCACTTCAGTTCCTTGGCAAGAATCACAGTGACACAATATGGAAGAGCCCGTAATCACTCCCATAAGCCACGTATCTCCAGCTCCTCTTACCTAACAAAAAATAAAAAATGAACCACAAGATAAGCCATAGTCCAGCCCAAACCACAAAACACTAATAATATGCACACAATGAAGAAACAAAACCACCAATCGAAACAATACCTTTCTAAGGTACTTGACGGGCTGCCCCTCGAGGATACCGGTATCAAGAAAATCTTTTAATTTAACAAACTTCCTCACCATCTTCGGCATTTTCATCTCAAGTTTTGATTTACTAACAAATGGGCTTTTCTGCATCTCCGAATTTAACTGTTGGGAATCACTTTTCCCGGGTAAATTATTCACTTTCTCCGCTTTCGGCTTCAATGCTGACCGAGTAAACCGCCTCTCCGGCTTTTCAATCACCTCTCCTTCCACCTTATCCCCGCCACTCTCAATCATCTCCGGCAATTCTTCATCGACCAAAGGCTTTTCTGGTCCACTCTTCTTCAATTGCTCCTCCTGAGGCTCATCTTCATTCACCGAATCACCAATGCAACCCGTCTGGGGCTCATCGTCGACTGCCATCTCAACCTCACCGTTCTTCAACTCGTCTTCGTAGACCCTCTCGCTCAGCACAGAGTCATCCACGTGGGTTTTAGGCTCGTCGTCGCTTATGAGGTCCACCACATCGCTTTTGGCGTCCTCTTCGCTCATGGTCTCATCCAAATCCTCCATAACCTTCACATTGTCGCCCTCAACCATCTCCCCACCCGCCAATATATCGTCACCACTCGTCAATTTCTCGTCCCCAACATCCTTCTGCACCTCGTTCGTGGTCGCTTTCTTCAACCTCTTACCATTCTCATTCTGAGAATTACTGCCCCGAGTCCGTCCCAAAGAACCAGACACTTCAGCTTGGGCCTTCAACGCAAACGCGAACTCACGTTTCAGGCCCGTCCGGACCTTAGACATCACCACAAACTCCTCAAAATCCGTACCGTTCGCCATGCACCGCCTCGGATCAATTCAAAACCCTAGAAATTTACCCCCAATCACTGGCTCAGATTTGTATTCGAAGAACTGCAAATCCAAACCCAGACAAAACCTTTGTTTATATACGTGTGGGGTTAAACTGAAAAGGCTCGAACTTTTTTATATAAAAAAACATATAAAATATGAATCCGAGGGAGTTGGGTTTCTGAGAAAAAGATAACAAATTAGGGTTTCAGAGAGAGAGAGAGAGAGAGAGAGAGATTTATTTCTGCGTTTTTGGGAGGAAATAGGAAACGTCGGGTTGTTTTTGAAGAAGAGCCACCACCAGGTATGAATCAAAGAAAGAGAGAGACAAATAGAGAGGGAGAGAAGGAAAAGGGAGAGTCCACCTGTAATTTTCTTCATTGACGAAACTACCCCTGACACCACGATTTCTTTTCTAGTTTATATTTTTTGGATTGCGGTCCTCTATGTTTTAATTATTTTCATTTGCCCCCCGGCCTTCCCCCAATCCGCTTGCAATTTCCGGTTTTTGTTTACTGTCTTGTGATCAAAATTGGAAAGGTAATAATTAGGATATAATGTTTTGAGTTTTTCTATTTTAAACCCCACACTTTTCTTTGTTCACCCTAAGAGCATCCACAGTGAGGGGGTGTATAAGGGGGTGTATGTTAAATATACACCCATTGTGATCAGAATCACCCGCAATGGGGGGTGTATATAAATGTATAATTACATCACCACCTTGGAGATGTATATTTAGATGCAATTGTACATCTTTTTTTACATCTCTTGCAGGTGGGACCCAACTGCAAAAAGGTGAGGGAAAATGGAGAAAAGTGGCTTTACACCCCCGAAAATACACCCTCTCATTGGAGCAAAAAGCGTATTTACACCCCCCGGAGGTGTAAAGGGGATGTAAAAGTGGCTTTACACCCCCGAAAATACACCCCCCCCATTGTGGATGCTCTAATATTTGAATTATTAAGCTCTTAAGTTTTATTATTGTGTAAAAAGACAGAAAAAGTCATCCAACTTAATACTTAACCCTAGTACATTTATAAACACAACCCACCACTCTTCATATTAAGTTTTAGAAAAATACAAACTCTTCTACACCTTTATTTTATCAAACAAGTAAAGTATGACCAACACCCTCTTTTCCCATTTTGAAATTTTGAATTGGAATATGAAATTCTATTATATAAATTCCAAGCAGCAGAGGATCTCAATATTACATGGCATGGATGCCAAATGTCATTTATCGAAGAAAACATAAGAAAGTCTTAAGTGAGGCAGTCACATGAAACGGCTCACTTAGAAGGGGTGGGACCCACAAGAGGAAGAGTCCACCCGTAATTTTCTTTAGTGTCGAAACTACCCTTGACATCACGATGTCTTTCATCATTTATGAGATTTTTATTTTTGAGATTGCAGTCCTCTACTTTTTGTTTATTTTCATTTGCAACTGATTCACTTGTAACTTACGTTTTTTCTATACTTTTTCTTCAAGCAAAATGCATATAAATTTTATTATAATATTTTTTTTCTTCTAATGATAATTGTAAAATGCAATAATTAGGGTATTATGTTTTTTCACATACATGAATCTATGAGTACATCTCTCTCCTTGTCAAATTTTTTTTTTTTATGGCTAATACATCCCATATATAAAATTTAAGTAAAACTATAAAAGAAAGCAATTTGGTTAATCGTAATCATTCAATTACGTCAAGAGGGTTGTTTTATACTATACTTGTTGCGGTCAAAGAGTTTGACGATTTTAATTAGCTACCTTAAATAAGAGCATGAGAAGAAAAAAAAGAAAGGACTTTAACACCATCCAATTTTCCATCCATTATTAAGGGTATTTTAGTCTTTCCATTTTCAAGAAAAAAGAAAAAAGAAAAAATAGACCTTTCTCCCCCACCCGCCCCTAAAACACATCGAATAGAACTCCCTCCCTCCTCACCGTCAGAAAACATCCCCTTCTTTCTTTCTCTAACTTTCCCTCTTTATTGCACACAAAATTTGAAATTACAAGGAATGAAATCTATAGTTAGCTGCTGGACTTTTATTTCCATCTTATTTGCGTTTTGATGAATTCAGACTTCCCGCCCTCAAGTGATTAATTTACCATCTCTAATATATTGCATATGGATTTCATTTCGTATTGAATGTGTTTTAGGGGCGGGTGAGAGAGGAGGGGTGAGAGGGGGGTCCTATTCGATGTGTTTTAGGGGCGGGTGGGGGAGAAAGGGAGACAAAGGTCTTTTTTTTCTTTTTTTCTTTTTCCTTAAAAATGAAAAGACTAAAATACCCTTAAAAATGAATGGAAAATTGGATGGTGTTAAAGTCATATGACAAATCATGGATTTTGAAAAATTAAAGTGACATTTCTCTTAAATTTTTCTTTAAGGTGTCAAATTGAAATCGATGTCCTAAAAAAAAAATTATGGTACTTTTAGGCTTTATTCATTCTTTTATTAGTAGCTCCTAAAAAAAACGATTACTAAAAATTATATGACATATTAGTAACTCATGCTTTAATCTCTCAAATAATTAGTAAGTATGACCAACATCTATATAAACCCAATGTTTTAAAACATTAAGGCATAAGCTTTTTGGGATTTTTTTTAAAATTATTAAATTATAAGTATATAAACATATATTCCGTAACATGAGTATACATATTTTCTTTGATGCGGACATACAGACGTTACCGTGCGGACGTTATGTATTCTCTACTACCTCTCCATGTTTACAATGGTTTTCATAAGGGAATAACGTCCAGACGTTTGCATAAGAGAAGAAATGATATATATATATATGTAAAATTATAAAGGCTTATTAGTTAAAATGCCCCCTGAAACTTGGGTCAAATCTCACTTTGCACCCTGAAATTGAAAGTGACCCATATACCCCCTTTGTCCGTGGTTTCACGTTTCACTTTGCCCCCTGCCGTCAACTTCGTTCCAAACTTTGTCAAATTTGCTGATGTGGCAGGAGTAATTTCATCTTTTCATCTTTTCCCATTAATATGAGAGGGTGACTTGGCAAATTGTGTAGCCCACCCTTATTAATAAAAAAGAAAAGAAAAATTCAAAAACCAGAAAAACAAAAATAACCTTCTTCCCCGCAGCCCATCATCTCTGATCTCTCAACTTTACCAAATCAACCCACACCCATTCCCATCCAGCCACCACAAACCCAAAATCATCTTCTTTGAACTCTCATAAAGTGGAAATCATCAGTCCCAGTCTTTCTCCTCTATACTCTTTGTCTTTTTCACTCCTAGGGGCATTTTCTTTCGCTCTCTCAGCTTTTGCCTCTAACTCTCTCTCTCTCTCTCTCTCTCTCCGCCGACAGCACCAAAGGTCCCGTTCTTTCATTTTTTTTTCAGCTTGGTCCAAATATGTTGGCTCCCATCCACCTATGGTTCTATTATGTGCAATTAGGGTTGGGGATTTCTTAGGGTTGTGTTATTTGGAGTGAGGAATAAGTTGGGGTTGGTGGATGAATGTGCTGGAGGTGGTTGGGTGGGGAGGTGGCTGGTGGTTGTGTGGTGGTAGCATTGGTAGGGTTTGTTCGAGGGGAGCAACTATGGGGGTGGGGTGGTTTTCGTGGGCTGAGAGAGATGGGAGGATTGTTGAAGTGCGTTGATGTGGTAGGTGGGCTGAGGTCGTGGTGGAGTGCAGGAAGGTGGAGAGGTGGTCGTGACATTGAAGCGGGGTTGGGTAGAGATGGCTGTTGAGGGTGGGGCATGAGGTTGTTGGGCAGAGGATGAGCCTTCTGGTTTTTTTTTTTAATTTTTAATGTTTAAATTAATTTTATTGAATTTGAATTGTTTAAGAGGATTTTTCCATTTTTTATAATGTTTCTATGCTTACATGGAATCCACATAAGCCTAAGGGAGGTGGAGGTTGAGGTGGGCTTCACAATTTGCCAAGTCACCCACTCATATTAGTGGGAAAATAGCCTGCTAGGACGAAATGACCAAATGACCCCTGCCACATCAACAATTTTGACGAAGTTTGGAACGAAGTTGATGGCATGGGGCAAAGTGAAACGTCAGTTAAAGTGGGTATATGGGTCACTTTCAATTTCAAGGTGCAAAGTGAGATTTGACCAAGTTTCAAGAGCCATTTTAACTAATAAGCGAATTATAAATGTAGTATACCATTATTGGGCTTTCTTTCTTGGTTCTTTATATTTTCTTAATATAGCTTGTTTCAGCACTTAGGCTTAGGCCTCACATGCCATGTTTAAAAGAAAAGTCCCATTTTGCGTAAAAGACATCATTTCAAACTTTTAAAGACTTTTATAGAGTTTAAAAGTTTGGAAGTATCCAATTTAGGAGGGGTGTATCCAATCCATACTTATAAATACTTTTTTAAGCGAGTAACTTTCCTACCATTAACATATTTTTAAACACTTTCATAGAGTTGATAAAAGTCACTAATAAATTGGTAAAACTTTTGTTATGAAGAATTAGCCTTAAAAGTATACGAAACCAATTCATTTAATAAGCTCTTTAAAAGTTATTAACTTTTTGGATACCCCACAGATCTATGATTTGTTTTGGTCCAAATTACAAAAGACCCCCCAAGCTATGGGGTCATTTGCAAGTTCATACCCATAGTTTGAGGGTCTTTCGTAGTTTGTCAATTTTTTAAAATTTACAAAACATGTTTTAGGCCAACGACGTCGTTAGTTATATTAAAAGTTAGGTCAACTCATCTTCTTTTTCCCGCGCTTGCACAGCGCCGATCTCGCTTCTCCTTCTTCCTCTCTCTCTGTCTCGATCTCTCTCCCTCTTCACACGCACCGCCCAGCGCCTCAACTGCGCGTCGACGCCTCTAATGCGCCTCAACAGAAAACCGCGCGGCCAGAGACGCTTCGCTGCATTTCACGAACTGTTCGCCTTTTAAAACACTGTATAAACCTATGCTATTTCTAATTTTTCTTCAATCAAAATCAATGGTATGTTGTTTTTAACTTTATATGTGCGTTTTTGTGGTACAGGACTTGGATAAAAGTCCGTTGTGACTACAATATGGTGGTGATTGTGGATGAAGCTGACTCAGTGCCAACGGTGGTGAGTTCTGAAAATTTGCTTGCTTGATGTTCATGAGATATTGGTTCTGAAATTTTTTGTGATTATAGATAGGCTTGCTGTTGTTTATAGATAGGTTCTCCAGTTTATGAGATATTGGTTTAGGCTTGATGATTGTGCTAAATCTGCTGGGAATTTTATATAGATGGGGGTGCACCAGGGGGTGGAAGAAGGTCTTGCTTCTAATGAGCCACCAATATGAACTCAGATGCATGCTTTTGAATG